ATGCAGGATGTTGTGATGCTCTCAGCACAAACCTGTAGAAGGTAGTGAGCACCATAAAACTTAGTTTTATTCACATTAATAGAGAGTCTACTGTCGTTGCACCAGGACTGTGAGAGTTTGCTTCACGTCTAGTTTTGGTGTTGTTTTTCACAGGAAACTAATTGCTCGAGGGATTTTGATCCTTGAGGGTTTTCCAGAAACATTATGTTCCATTAATATCCTCTAATGTTATAAGTTGTGGTTGAGTGGTTGATCACACCCAGCATCGCTGCTGCTGCTGCTGCTGCAGTATGATGAAGTATTTCAATAGTCCACAGCACAGGAAGTTCAATCTGTGCTGCAGATGGGATGTGTTACGGTGTCATTTGTCCACTGATAGACCCAGTGAAATCCAGAGTAATGTGACACTGAGGAAAACTGACAGAAGCTACACAGAATAGAAATATTTGCATTTCAGACTTTGCATGATAATAAAAAACAAATAAGGAAAGACCACCAGTCTACTTCTGTAGACAGTGCTTATCATTTACATACATTACAGCTCAGGTAACAACATCTGGGACTGCAGAGTCAGCTCTTTTCGGTATGCTTGACCATGAGGGCCTGAAATGAGTATTTTTAGTAAACACTTGGGTGCACCGTAAATGTTATTAGATGACAGATCACTAGATCAAGTGACACATACGTAGATGTCTACTTATATGAAGAGCCTGAAAATGATATGTATTGTTGATAGATCATTAGATAGATTTTCTGGATTTTATTTCTACTTGGTGATGCAGGTCGCTGAAGGGATTAATGTGTACACATGACAACAGTAATAATAGATTCTAGGCCTCAAATGTGAATAAACAAAACTTCATTCTTCCTGTGATTTCACTGTCAAATAATCTGATCTCATAGTGAGTAAAATTATTAAATAAACATTACATTTTAACCATTCAAGAAATGTTTGGATTTTATCTTGAAGGGTGCAGTAAGGACATGTCTCAGACTTCTAGTTCTGTGTTTTCTCCTTGTTGTGAAACAGCAAAGAAGGAGCACAAGCTCCCCCTGCTGGAGGAAGAAAAACCTGCAGTTAAACCCAGATCATTCATAAACACACCAACGTTTGAATATAGTGTCATGTATAGTAGTGTATAGTAGTGTGTAGTGGTGTA